CTGTAGTCTAATAGCATAGGCTGTCGCGACTACGACAGAAGGCATTACCTCATTAATTTTCTTCTGAAATTCTTCTATTCTTTCTTTTCTTTGTGCTACTCCTTCATTCAGCATATCATGCTGAGACTCAATATTTACCAGTTCACTTTCCAGTTTTGATTTTTCCTAGACAGAAAGCGAAAAGATACTAATTTTTCTTAAAAGGACGGTCAACTTGCTAGAAATTGAGACAGCTCTGTTCCAGATTAACTATTCCAGATGTTCTGATTAAAAAACTTTAAATATGTTCTTCTCAAATGCCACTTACCCACTATTATTGCCAATTTACATGCAATGATTACAGTTTTAATAAGGAGAAAAGCAAATTACATAAATATCCTTTAAATTGCATTTTAATTTACAACTTCTGAGGGTTACTAAATGATAAACCGAGCTTATCAGAAATTCAAACTTAAAACCAAAACCAGAAAAAGCCTCGTGTAAATTACTTTGTCATCTTGTTTTTTATATTTTATTAATTCCTCAGTCATGACTGCTCTATGTAAAACAAACTGAATTAAAAAAAACTACATAAGGAATTAGTATTTATTTCACCAGTAATCACAGTTTAGGTAAAGAGACACAGTTATTAAACATGAAAATTATAAAGGTTTAGTACTACACCGTGTAGAGATTAGCGAGATGTTTCTTTTTAATAAGCTCTAATTCACTCTGTGAATATTTAAGTCGTGTCTGAGTTCCGTGGCATTGAGCATGTAACTGCTTCAAGTCAGCCTCCTTACGTTTGATCTTCATTAAGTCCTAGAAAAATATTACGATTGGAGAAAAAGCATTTTAAACAAAAGGTAATTTTTTTGGCAATTACTCATTTGTCAGATTTACACACTACATAAAACTCACTGCCATAGGCCCCATTCAGGTAAATGCTGATAGCACTGGTCATATTCAAGAGTTGGTTTGTAACAGATTTATTTCTGAAAAGAAAGCATTTGCTTGCTAATTCCTAAATTCCTAACTCTACCCCTCTTTCAAAATAACTAGAGGTATGACAAGTTGTCTTACACTAACAGATTTTGGTCTGTGCAAATATTTTTATGTTGACAGAATGTATCATCTTTTTCACTAAAAGTCTTCAGATACTTTGAAAAAACAGCTCTTTTCCTTGAAGTGACTTGTACCAACAGTGTTGTCCCAGTTCTCTACCTCTGTGATACATGAACCAACCCACCAGCTAAGGACAGAGACCCACAGTTGATTACAATTAACTAGAAGAGGATAAACAGCTTCCATGTCCTTGTCTGCATCTTCTAGAACTTTTTAAAAACACCTTTATAAAAAATCATCTTCCCGTAGCTGAATTAAGATGCAACTTTTACTCCTTTATGCCTTTTTCAATTAAGTGCTTTTAAAGAGACCTACCTTTAACTCATTAATCAAGCTATCTCTTCTTTCTTTCATTTTATTAATTTCTTTATCATCCCAACATCTAGCTTTGAATCTTAAATCACTTGATCCTCCAGAAATCACTCCAGATTTCAAAAATAAAGTTCCATCAAGAGCCACTGTCTGGAAGAAAAAAATAAAATTAAAAACAAATACATCTGAACACAAAGCAGCCAAAACACCTCATGAACTAGTGCACCAACACATGGTAGCTAAACAAATAACAACCGCATCTTAGTTGGACTCCAATTTCTTTTTCCTGTTCCAAACATGGTAACAAGAGATGCATGAAGCCACAAAAAAAGTCTGTTGTTTCTTGGCACTAGTCACATTTTAGTATTATGACAACAGATCAGAACAGGAAATAAAATTGTGTAATTTCCTTGTATTTAGGAAATTGAGACATTTTGTGTATACACCAGCTACTTAGAAGGTTATGTCTGGCTCAGCAGAGCAAACCAAGCAATGCGATAATGGAATGAAGGAAACCAGCTCATTTGTAAACAGAAAGCGTAAGTTTCAGTAAAGAACTTGGGTTCTTTTTGTGACTTAACTGGATTCCAAGTAAACCTGACTTCACACTCACCTTCAACTTTAAGATGTTTTAATCAAGATTCTTAAAGGTTTACTAAGTGCATAAAAGGGCTCTACAGACTGTGACAGCAACAGAGCTACAGATAAGAACTTCAGGAAGAGACAGAGAAGCTTCCAGTCCTCAACACAATCTACATCTACAACTACAAGATTCTGTCAGATCTTTTAAAGTATTTTTGGAAGCATTTCTTCATAGAAAACGTAGCAAGATAAATTTCGTATTTTTAGATCAGACAGCTGATTAGGATTATCCCATGCCTGAAGAGGATTATCCCTCCTTCCTCCTCCTCCATTTCATCAAGAGGACCATAACAAAAAAAGCATATTTGGACATTTAACTATCCTCTAATTTACCTCCTTTTTCCAGGAAATCACTTAAACATAGAATCATAGAACAGTTTTGGTTGGAAGAGACCTTCAAGATCATAGAGTCGAACCTTTGTCCCAGCTCTACCAACACCACTAAACCATGTTCCTAAGTACAACATCTACCCGCCTCTTAAAACACCTCCAGGGATGGTGACTCCACCACCTCCCTGGGCAAGCTGTTCCAATGCCTGACAGCCCTTTCAGTAAACAAATTCTTCCTAATATCGTACCATTCTGTGTTTATCTGCAGTAGTTCATGGGATGTTTATAGAAGAATTATTTAAATAGCATCAAATACACAACTGCAATGAAAAACATAATGCAACAAAATTCAGCTTCTTACTTTCAACCTCACTGGTCCATCAAACGCTATCTGTTTCGCTTCTTTAACTGTTTCACAGACCAAGCCATTCCCACTCACAAACTGAATCACTTTTTTCAGCGGAGCAAATGGAGTTTGTACAACATCCACCATCATTTTAGCTCCTTTTATCTCTCTTAACTTCTCGTTGATTGGTCTAACCTGTAAAGCAAGTAAGTGGTGTTTAGAAATCATGTTGTAACAGCAAAGCAGGTCCAAATCTGAGTGGTCTGGGGACAGGATGTATGAGTCAAAAGAATGCAAGTCCCAGTCACTACAAGACTAGAAACAGATCTTGTTTTCATATTCTGTGTATACTAGAGTCCTTAAATCTGTAAAACCTATTTCACTGTGCACAAAATGTGAGTACAGTAACGCACATAGCACGGGGAATAAACAAGATGAGTTAAGAGATCTATGTGCAGTTGCAGGGCTACAATCTTCCTGGGATCACGGAGACATGTGGGATGGAGAGGGCTACAGGCTGTTTAGGAAGGACAGGCTGGCAAGACGAGGAGGTGGAGTTGCCCTGTATGTGAACAGCTGAAATGCACAGAGCTCTGCCTGCGGATGGACAATGAGCCAACTGAGAGCTCACGGGTAAGGACTGAAGAATGAACTGGTGAAGAACACTGTACTGGGTGTCTGCTGCAGACCACCTGACCAGGATGAACAAGCAAATGAGGCCTTCTACAGACAGCTAAAAGCAGCTGTCACATTCACAGGCCGTGGTCCTCACAGGGAACTTGAACTACCCTGATATCTGCTACAGGGACAACATAGCAGGGCGTAAGAAATCCAGGCAGTTCCTGGGAAGCATGGATGACAACTTCTTCACCCAAATGACAGACAAGCCAACGAGGAGAGGTGCTCTGCTGGATCTCATACTCATCAACAAGGAGAGGCTTGCTGGGGATGGGAAAGTCAAAGGCAGCCCCAGCTGCAGAGAGCATGAGATAGGAGAGTTCAGGGTCCTGAGAGAAGGGAGCAGGGCAAAAGGCAAGCTCACAATCCCGGACTTCAGGAGAACAGACTTCTGCCTCTTCAAACATCTGCTTAGTAAAGTCCAATAGGATAAGGCCTCTGAGTGAAGAGGAGCCCAGGAATGCTGGTTAATATTCAAGTATTGTCTCCTTCAGCCTTAAGAGCAATCATCCCAATGAGCAGGAAGTCAGGCAAAAAAGCCAGGAGGTCTACATGGATAAACAAGTAGCTTCTGGCAAAACTCAAACACAAAAAGGAAGCATATAGAAGGTGGGGGCAGGGACAGGTAACCTGGGAGGAATATAGAGGCATTGTACAAGCATGCAGATACGGGGTTAGGAAAGCCAGTGCCCAACTGGAATTGAATGTGGCAAGGGATGTCAAAGAAATGGCTTCTCTAAGTACAGAGGCAACAAAATGAAGATGAGGGAAAATGTGGGCCTGCTGCTGAATGAGGCAGGGGAACTAATGATACAGGACATGGAATTCCATCTTCACCTCAGTCTTTACTAGCATGACTGGCCTCCAGGAATCCTGCGTTCCAGAGACCAGGGGAAAAGTCTGGAACAAGGAAGATCTCCCAGTATCTTTCAAAGATCGTGGCAACTGAAAGAAGTCCCCAAGGACTGGAGAAAGACAAGCGCGACTCCTGTGCCCAAAAAGGGGCAAGAAAGAGGACCCAGGGACTACAGGACAGTCAGCCTCACATTGATCCCTGGGAAGGGGAAGGAGCAAGTAATTCTAGAAACCATTTCCAGGCACATGAACAACAAGAAAGTCTTTGAGCATTAGTCAGCATGGATTCACCAAGCTGGTCATGCTTGACCAACCTGACAACCTTCTACAGTGAAATGATTGGCCTGGTAGATGACGAGAGAGCAGTGGACACTGTCTACCTAGACTTCAGGAAGTCTTTCAAGCACTGTGTCCTGTAAGATTTTCATAGAGAAGCTGAAGAAATATGGTCTGGCTGAACAGGCAGTGAGGTGGACTGAAAACTGGCTGAACAGACAGGCTCACAGGGTGGTGACTGGTGGCACAAAGTCCAGTTGGAAGCCAGGAATCAACCACGTCAATACTGTGACCAATCCCGTTCAACATCTTAATTAATTATCTGGACGATGGGGTAGAGCATACCCTCATCAAGTCTGCCGATGACAAAACACCAGAAGGAACAGCTGATATGCCAGATGGTCACGTTGCCATCCAGAAGGACCTCAGCAGGCTGGAGAAATGGGCTGACAGGAACTTCTTGAAGTTCACCCTGTAAGCGCTTTGCCTTAACTCTTAAGCCTATTTTAGCTAAGCCTAAATAAGCCAACATCAAGATTTACCGGTGTATTAACTTGCCGATGACAGGAAAAAGAAAAAGTGTACTTACATCAAGGTAATCCAAAGCAAGAAAAGTTTCAGGTTCAGCTCGTTCTTGTTTTAGGAACCGAATGCAATCTCTTGCTGTTTTTTCAGTGGCAACAACAATAGCAGTCATGTATTTGCTGAATACCTTGGTAACAGCAAGCTGGTATTTTTTATGAATAGGATGACACAGGTCGAGCAGTCTTCCAAACTGAAGATAAAAATATACAGAAATATTAGTAAGTTACATTAGCTATCAAATAATTTTTCTGCATAGGAAACACTGAAATAGCAAGAGGAAAACATGTAATATATCTACCAGCTGCACTCTTACAATGGCTGTACATCAGGAAAAAACAGAAATTGTAACAGTCATCAATCCAAATTGCAAAGTATGCCTTCAAAATCTGAAGGGATTTAATTTTTTCCCTGAGGTTTCAGTTACGCATCTCAATGTTTCACTTAGAATCTCTAGCAGACACTTCCAGAAGTGTGACAGAGTGAAAACAGTGAAGTTCACTAAGCACCTTTTTTTGGAGAGAAAGTATCTAACACACAGGAAGATCTCTGAATGACAATAAGGTCTTTAAAATAAATAGAACTGGTAACTGGAAAATGGTATCAAGAGAGGCACTATTCCAGTTTCAATGCAAAAAAGAAGTATCTGCTTACTTTAGTAGCATGAAAAAAATAAAACCTGCTTTTCTTGTACTGCATAGTCCAAGTAATCAAGCCCATTTTGCTCTATTTTGAAATAACACCTCCATAGATAAAAGTAATTACTTCTTTGTTATACATTCTCCTTTAAGATCTTCTGTTCCATTTTTGTATTTATACATACAATTGAGCTTTCCTCGAGTGATTAAAGCTACTAATACACATTCTAAACATTATAACCTGTGAATTCATGCAAGAACAATTTTTCCGTTTGTTGACATACAGCTACTGGTCTCCTCTTGAGTATCTACAGTTTTAACCTCATCGAATTTAAACAAATGAAAACACGATGAGAACTGGTAAGAGTTGTATGTGATAGGTTATGCATGCTACTATCTCAAGAATGATATCACTGAGATTATTTCCATGAGACCAAATTGTGGTCTACCATGATCTACTTCCCTACCCTCCTCTTGTCAAATGTTCTCCCTTTTCTGAAAAGCAGTAGAAGCAAGGATAATACAAACACTACAAGTTTCTTTATTTAGTTTCCTCATTTTCTCACACAGTGTCATCTACTTGGATGTTTCTATATGCAGCTCAGACACGTGATGTTTCAGATATCCAAAACTGTACAGAAGATCTATGTATTTTCAGACACAGGCATTTGAGTGCAGATGGAAAGCCATATTTCTGTGAATACAAATATTGACAGCCCAACTGAATCTGTAACAATAGCAATCTTGCCAATTAAAACTACCAATATAAACATGCTGTTTTGAGAATGAAATTGTTAAGAACTGTAATCAGCTGCAAAATTCGCTTTGTTGATCAGACAAATCCGTGAAAATGTACACATC